GGGGGGCTGCAGTGATGGTTGACTTTCTACAACTTTCTCTCATCTCCTGACTGTATCTCTGGAGCTCAGCCACAGTCATCTTTGGGTTCTTCTGTACCTCTCTCACCAAGGCTCTTCTCCCCCGATAGCTCGGTTTGGCCGGACGGCCAGCTCTAGGAAGGGTTCTGGTCGTCCCAAACGTCTTCCATTTAAGGATTATGGAGGCCACTGTGCTCTTAGGCACCTTAAGTGCAGCAGAAATTTTTTTTGTAACCTTGGCCAGATCTGTGCCTTGCCACAATTGTGTCTCTGAGCTCTTCAGGCAGTTCCTTTGACCTCATGATTCTCATTTGCTCTGACGTGCACTGTGAGCTGTAGGGTCTTATATAGACAGGTGTGTGGCTTTCCTAATCACGTCCAATCAGTATAATCAAACACAGCTGGACTCAAATGAAGGTGTAGAACCATCTCAGGGATGATCAGAAGAAATGGACAGCACCTAAGTTAAATATATGAATGTCACAGCAAAGGGTCTGAATAATTATGACCATGTGATATTTCAGTTTTTTTTTTATAAATCTGCAAAAATGTCAAAAATTCTGTGTTTTTCTGTCAATATGGGGTGCTGTGTGTACATTAAAAAAAAAATTACCTTAAATGATTTTAGCATATGGCTGCAATATAACAAAGAGTGAAAAATTTAAGGGGCTCTGAATACTTTCCGTACCCACTCTATTATCAGGGTTGACTTTTCATCGTATCTCACGTCCTTCACTGAAGCACTTTGTAAAGAAATCGCTACACAAATTGTGTTACTGTTATAACACAAACATACCCTGAATGCTGACAACACTCTGCACAGCTTTCATTTTACCCACAGAGTCTAAGTTTGTGCGCTGCTTTGTCTGCTTACATTTCTTCCCTTTCCCTCCAGGAGGAAATGTGTCTGTTGCAGTTCCCATGTATTAGCCCTCTGGTTGGTCAGCTGATGCTGAGGAGAGCACCGTCCTTCCAGTGGCTCCTGGAGGCCCCCCTATCTCAGCTGAAGTTGCTGCTCCCTGAGGTGCCACATAAAGTCCTCAAGGTGATCCAAGGCACATCATTACACTTCCATTATACCAAAATATTCTTAGATTTTGTTTTATAGAGTTCTTTTAATAAATAGAGCATGTTTTACTTTAGTACATGTTCACAGAAGCCACTAATGTGTCACAGTGGGAAAAGCACAGCTAGATAAAAAAAAGCTTCAGGGTCCTGGCATTTAGTATGCTGTTCACTATTATGGTTTACTGGGACACTTGCGAAAACAGAATCATCCATCCTTATGTTATCAGTAATACCTGTGTTTTTCCTGCTATAACATGTCAAATGCCTAGCTGTGAAAAAGGCCTTTTGTCACAGGCGGTAAGTTGTGTGACCATGTGATTGTTCCTGTGTCTTTGTTTAATGCAGACTGAGACTTTATATGGACTTCCCATGAAGCTGTGAAGTCTGAGGGGCCACTGGTTTTGGAAACATTTTTCCCACATTGTTTCCCCATTTCATTTTGTTCTTGAAACAAAACACTGGACTCTCCCTGATAATGTAGCAAACCTATCAGTTTATGTTACGACCACCAGTTATAAAATGTCAGCTTCAATTCTGAGAAGCCACGTTTTGGGCCTCATTTTGTCAATGGATCTACACTGACCGGCCACTTTATTAGGTACTAAGGATAGGCAATGATTTTCAAATAGTCATTAAATTAAAAAACAAAAAACGAACATTTCACGCAACGATGGTTTTGTCTTTAAGAACAAAGAGCTGCTCTTTCGTCTTGCTTTTGTCGGCACCTGGAAATAATGTGATAAGTTCAGTATATCATTTTGCTACAGCGCTAAATACAAACAGCAGAAACATAACGAGACTAGAGGTCTTCACGGGTCCACTCAGTTCCCGAGACGCGAACCGGGACACAAGTTGGGTTGGATCCAAACTTAGCTCATTCTGGTTGGGTCGGTTTAGGTCACATTTCACTGTCTCAGGTTTCAGGTCTGTGTGCCAGTATGTTCAAGACCCAAGTGGATCTGAACAGTCCCGAGCCTGCGTGGTAATATCCAACTGATGATATGGTGCGTCACAGTCAACGCAGGAAAAAGTTACAGTAAATGAGGCCAAAGGGAAGAGAGGATGGAGGCATTCTTTGCATAAGTGAGGAACAAATTGAGACAGTGAGTGCAAGGAGATTAAACCAACTGGCGCATCAGCTGTTTGGACAAGTACAGATTTTTACAGATATGTACAGATTACATATTTGTTGACAAAGTTGGTGCAATTAACTGCATATCGCGGCATCCTCGAATAATTGTCAGAGTTCCTGGCAAAGTATTTTAGCTTGAAATGCTCATCCCTATTAGGTGCACATGTACAATTGTATGCACTTCACTTTAACATCCTGTGTTTATGAAGCTCAGAATATTTCAGTTTTTGGTGAAATTGCCGTAAATGTATAAATTCAGTTATATGTTTATTATTGAGGCCATAGTTAAAGATGGTGTTGTACTGTGCTACATTATATTCAGAGGCGTTCCTAATACTCTGACCGTTTCATGTACAGTATGTAGCTGGGTAGGGCAAAAATATAGACACCTCTGAATATAATGTAGTCCAGTACAACACCATCTGTAACACAATAATATACAATTGAATTTATACCTTTGACAGTTTCACCAAAAACTGAAACATTCTGAGCTTCATAAACAGGATGTTAAAGTGAAGTGTTGCATTGAATTGCATGCAATTGTACAGGTGTACCTAATAAAGTGGCTGGTGAATGTAAATGCTGCAGTACCCATGAGCCTCGACTGCCGTTGCCATGGAAAAGCTTTTTTATAGGGGTGCTGATTCAACTGTATGCTCATAATGCAGGCTGCGCTGTGTTGAACTGTAGCAGATTATCCAGAGAGGGGTTGTTTAGCCTGGCCTCAGTGATGTATGTGCTGTGTATAAAATAATAGGAACACCTGTCAGAATAACAGTACAACAGCAGCTTCAACCACAGCCTCCAAAATGATCATGCAGGTGATTTATCACCTTTCTAAAATCAGCGCAAGATCTGTTATTCATACTTACCTGTTCATAGAGATATAGAAGGACTTTGTTGATGTCCCAGACTTGTACTTTAGACTTCTTATCAAAGAACCAGGTATTTTCTTAGGTAGGTCTCATACTTTTTGACTGATCAGGGGAGCTTCAAGTTGATCCAAACTGTCATGTAAAACTGCCTATGGGGAAGAAAGAATGGGACATTTACTCCTGGAACCAGGTGAGCCTGGAATAGCTCCTCAGACTGGACAGCTCTAAGGTGATAGACAGGTTGTAGAAATACATGATTGGAGGATGGAGGGGACATGCCTGAACTACAATAAGGCTTCATTGGTGTCAGTGTTACAACAATACAATTTCTCTGCTGTGTGGATAATAAACATTTATCAAACTTTTCCAGTGGCGGTTCTGCATTTAACAGCCTCTTTTGTCATTCTGGTTTTAGCTGTTCAGTGAAATCACCTCCCTGTACACGCTGAGCGCAGACTCCACTCAGCGAGAGTCTCAGACAGTCTTCACTGACACATACCAGTGGACCAGCACTGATGAATCTGAGCATATTAAAGCCTTCTTTTCAAAATCCTCAATCATCCAACATCCAGAACTGGTCTGTAGCGACCACAACACCTACTTTATGTTTGGAGCTGAGAATGCAGAGGGCAGTTTCTGTGAAACAGACCCAGACTCACCAGTGCAGGATGGCAACACTGTGCTCAGACTCAACCTGGGTGGCCACTCCATTGGCAGCCCAGATGTTTACATGCAGAGAAGCTGGACCAGCAGTGAACTGAGGAGAGAGGAAGATGGAGGCAGAGAAGAGGTGAGGTTTCATGGGTGGAGAAGCAGAGCTGGAGTGGCGGGGAGAGTTGTTCAGAGAGTTAATGATATGTGGACACCCAGAGCTCCAACAAACCCCAACAACTTTACCAACTCCCGACTCACTGCTGACAACAGTCCTTTCATGCTGGACTCCACGTTCAGTTACAGCCTGGTCCCACAGCAGCCAAGTCCAATGTCCATGTACTCTACAGTCCACAGTGACCTTCAGCGTCCTGACAGCCATCACATTCCCTACTCTGTTCCCACTCTGAGTCCTCCTACAGCTGTCAGGCCATGGGGTCGAGGTAGACGTGGCAACATGCACCTCTCCGGTAGTGGAGGGATGACAACAGTTTCATCAAACTATGGCTCAAAATGCTGGATAGGACAAGAGAGGAAGAGGAGTGAAGAGGCTGCAGGCTTGGACCGAACAGGTGAATAACAGTGACTTTTAATGACTTTGAGATTGCAGTTCATGCTTTTATAACTTCTAGACTTGACTATTGTAATGCATTATGCCTTGGTGTTAATCAGTCGTCTCTTTCTCATCTTCAAATGGTCCAAAATGCTGCTGCTCGTCTTTTAACAGGTACTAGGAAATTCGACCATATAACTCCGGTACTGGCCTGTCTTCACTGGGTTCCAGTCCGTTTTAGAATTCATTTTAAGCTATTGATTTTTGTTTTTAAGGCTCTTAATGGTTTGGCACCGCCTTACCTCACTGAGTTGGTGAGGTGGCACGAACCGACTAGATTACTCAGATCCTCAAGCCAGTTTTTGTTAGAGGTGCCCAGGGCCAGATACAAACGCTGGGGTGACCGTGCTTTTATTGTTGTAGCTCCTAAATTGTGGAATGGTTTACCTTTTAATGTTAGATCCTCTACAGACTTGACAACTTTTAAATCATTGGTTAAAACATATTTATTCACTTTGGTTTTTAATACATAGTGCTGTCTAATGCTTCCTCCTTTTATCTGTTGATTCTGTGTACTTGGTGTTTTTATGTTCCTATGTTGTTTTATTTCTCTATTGATATTTTTTACTCTGGATTTGCATTGCTGTGTAAAGTACTAAAACCTGCAGAGAAGCGATTTCGGTTTTGCTCGCAGTCCGTCGTGCACTGGCAAATTGTGTTAACCATAGCAGGCTTGTTAAGAACAAGCTAACACTTAAAAGAGAGGGATGTATGGCTGTGCCATGGTGAGCCCAGCAGATGCTTCAGACTATGAAAGGCAATAGGCCGCTATTAACCTGAAGTTTTATTTGTAAAATAAAGTAATTTCCTGTGAGCTGTCAATCACTGTTAGGTAGATAAAAATCTTGTTTTTCAGTTAAATCTTATTTAAAGTTAAAGAAACTCCACTGTTTAAAGACAAGATTGTTTTAAATGTTCAATAAATGCATGATTCTTCAAAGTTCCTGTGTAATTGTGTTAAATTATCGTGATCTCAGTAATGACAAAAATGATTATGATTTTTGTCATCACATTTGGAATAAAGGCCTGGTTGAAATATAAGCCTGTTTCACAGAACGGTCTGGTTCTCTCTGCCTAAGTAAATAAAGGTTTTAGCCACAGTCTGGAAATTCACAGTACATGTCTCTCTGTTTTTGACTGAGACATTTCCTTGTGTTTGCTTTGCAGTGCTGACGCCGCTGAAGAAGGGGAGGCTGAGCTATGAGAGGGTGCCCGGCAGAAGTGACGGGCAGACGAGGCTTAAATTGTTTTAGACGTGCGTGCTTTGTTTCTGTGGCATGTTGGTAAAGACAAGTTTAAGTCACTCACTGCACAGTTCAAGTTTTAGCTTATAAATTTTTATATACTTAAGAAAATATTAACAGCTTCCTTCAGAATGGTTCTACTGCATGCTAGGTTTCCCAATTTCTGAATAAAATCTCTACATTTTAGATGTATATGTTAGAGTCAAAAAGCTGCTGTGCTTTAGACAGTTTTTGTTTGTTCCTGCTAGTTTTTATAATCACAAAGTTTAGTGAAGTACTGTAATAATCGGAATGATTAATTTTCAGACCAATACAAAATGATTAACTTGGATCATCTTTACTGCTATTTCAAAATATTTTCATAAAATATTAGCATTATAATATTTATTACTTGTTCTAAGACTTGAATTTGAATTTCACATCACAAACTACTTATTTGCAGTTTATTAAATCAAAACTTGCAACACTATGTTTACTGATTTAATCGTACTGCACCCTGTACTTCCTCCTGTTGAGTTGGTGTAACCGATAGAGTTACAAATACAGCATTAATAAATACTTAACACCTTTTCTGCTCACAGCTACATTGATTCTGCTTCTAAGTCATAAATGAGTGGGTTGTTGCCAGTTTAACAAAATCAGATTAAACCAAGATTATCTGCACATTTTGCTTTTGTTTTCCCCCATACGGAGCATGCTCAGTAGTGACAACCAAATTGTGATTTACCGAGGGTCGGTCCCAGCTAAACTGATAAAGTCTCTCATTTTAACAGCTTCGATTTTTTTTTTTCATTTAGTGAAGCAATCCCCTTATCATCAGTCTACCCAAATGCCTTCAATTTATTTATTTTAGTCAAAAAAGAGAGAGAGCACAGTACCACATATTGTGTCACAAGAATGTGTGAGTTAGTTTAAGTCTTTGGATGAGACATGAACAGCTCAGATGTTATAAGGGTGTTTATCTGACTGCCCCCCCCCCCCCCCCCCCCTTTTTTTTTTTTTTTTATAAATATTTGTCTTTCTGTCCAGCTTCTGCTTTCTAACAAGCAGTGGACAAAGACAGAGAGAATTCATTGTTTTTTATGGCACAGGAACAAAAGCAGTGGGCAGGATGGTCGGAGTAGTCCCCGTATGTATGAAGGCTAGGTAAACAGAGTATTGGTGCAGTAATGGCCCCTGACTGTTCCCTCAGCCATAGACTGAATGGGACAGGAGACATATTGTGGGAATTAACAGGCTGTTTAAACCAAGGCCACCCTTTAGATGTGGATCCCACTCCGGCCGCAGCTGTAAAGGTCACACTGCTGCTATCTCCTCTCCTCTGGAAATAATGATGTGATACCTTTTAAGTTAAATACTGAATTTAAATAAGGGAGATCTGACTAGCAGGAATAAAAATGAAGTAATTAAACATTTAGTAGATGGGGTTGTCATTACTTTTAAATGTATTTTAAAAAATTGAAGGGATCACCAAAGTTAATTTATTATTAACTAGCCTCGTTGCCCTGGTCATGCTTGATCTTGGAAGCTAAGCAGGGTCAGTCTTGGTTAGTAGGACAGAGCAGGGGTTTTCAACCAGTGGTCCGCAGCCGTCTGGTGATTCGCAAAGACATTGCAGGTGGTCATTATCTATGTAATCAGCATTTAGTTTTACTGTAGAAGTAATTTTTAAATTTTATTTTAAAACAGGTATTACTTATTGTTTTTGAATTTATGCAAATCTTTAATATTTAGAAAATCTAAGGTGACTTTCAGGATTTAAATAGTGCCCATCTGGTTCATCCACCCTGCAACAGTGGTCCTCATATTACTTCTTAGCCAGAATGGTGGTCCCTGAGTCACAACTGGGCTAGAGGACCACCTGGACCTGCACCCAGCCACTGGGGTTGCACAAGTCGGTGCACGCTATATGCTGATTCCAAGCCCAAACAAAAATGGGAGGGCTGCTTCAAGAAGGGTATCTAGTGTAAAATCTGTGCCAAATCTTACCTGTCCAGATGGCAGTGATTCTCTGTGATGACCCCCAATGGATGGGGAACAGCCAAAAAAGGAACAACAACATTCTAAGGGAGACAAATTTCATAGCACATTTGTGGAGACCTGCACACCAATGTCAACCACATGGTGGCACTACATAAAAAGTCTGTCATTAAAGCTCTGTGCTGTCAGATGTTGAGTCCATTGGTTAAAGAGACAAAGTGGTTACTGTTGTCTCTGTCACGCAGACTTGCATCAATTTAGTCATCGATTCTACGCGACATTTCACAGCTTGTCCTGCCCGCTCTGCTTTCAGCCTTAACCCTCACAATAAAGGACAGGTTCAGGTAAAATCGTCACCTGGCCTTGTAGCTGTGATGAAAGCTAAGACAATGACCAGTTTATCTGCAGACCTGCAGTGGAGGCTGGATGGAGCCAGAGAGCCGCAGTGTCTGGCCTGCCTCGTCAGCAGGTGCAGCCTCTTGGATGTGCAACAGGGCCCATGAATGGCCGATTCAGAAAATGGCCCCCATCAGACCAGATCTCCAAGACCAGGGCTAATCCCAGCCCCTAATCGGATTATGTAAATTCCTACTCCACACGGAGACTTTTATGGAAGGCTGCGTCTTTGAAACAACACTTGAAGGGTGTAAAAAGAGCAGTCACAATTGGTTAAACTAGACTTGTGTTTTTCATCTGAACGGAGGTTGAAAGTGGGAAGCAGAGAGAGGGGTGAGGAGTGGTCAGAGAGAGGTGAGTCAGGGCGCTGCGCTCTCCCTATTTCCACTGTAATTTATGTGTGGCCCCTTGGAACGGCTCAACAAGATTACCATAGTCATAACAAAACCCATATTGTTCGACTGTCAATCTGGATATGGTATTTTTACCTTTTGTGGCCCAATCAGGCTGAATCCAATAGCCGAGCAGCCAGCGATATCAAGGTCTTTTCCACAGTGGAGGCGATGGTGGGTTGTCCATGCCTAATGTCAGAGAAACACAAAGGAACAAGTGTCCACAGCAGTAAGAGAAGGATCAGAGCGATGAACGTCTCAGTTTCACTTCAATGGAAACGTATTTGTCACCTTTAGTGCTAACCTTCAAGGATTAAATGAGCAATGAATCATAAAAGCTGCACAAATAGTCACTTAAAAGGCTGTTGAATCATGAAAGCTACAAACGAGAACTGGAATCCCCTGAAATGTTGCACAGAAACACCTATGACAGTTGTTTAAAGTGTTGATTTATGGACAGTATAGTCATAAAGCCATCTCTACTGGTTCTTAATGATAGATTTGCAGGGGTTAACAATCACTCCCTCCTCAGCAACACCAACCACCAGAACAGCACACGTCACACAATAGGGTTCACCCTGCTATAAAAATGTGGGATGCAAGCATGCAGCAGTCTTCCCCCCACTCTCTCCTCTCGGCTCCCCATCCCTCCCTCTCTCTGTCCTTCCCTCTCGCTCCTAACAATCTCTAGTGAGCATGAGAAGACACAACTGAGTGGACATTCACACCGGACTTCGGGACACTGATGACCTGCCGACTCTGCAACTGAGATTTCTACACATTTCTACACACATACAGGTTAGGCATTTCTTTTGTACTGAAGCTTTTTTTCCTCGAAGCCACGTTTCCACATTTGGTCAAGTAAATAAATAACGAGAATGTACTACATATGGACTGCAACTATAGTAGTGAAGATTTGTGTTTATATCACTTTGCATCAACTAAAAAAATCTATTTTCAACATTTTGTTGTTCCAGAGCAGCCTTAAGTTAACTACAGTTTCTTAAAAGCACATTTAATAATGCTTTATTTTGACCCACTTCTATTATATGTTTATGAATGTACAGTATATAACAAGTGTAACTTTTCTTATGAAGGCATTTTTACATGATTACAGCTGTTTATTCTTTTTGCATGTCCACTTATGGGAGCCTATAGGCGTTACAGCTGTTGAAAAGTAGTTTGGCTTACAACTATATTATTTAAGTTTACATACTGCTTATAAAAACTGAATTAGGGCATGGAAGTAAAGCATTACCAAATTTGCTTTCAAGAGACTTTCATGTTAAATCAAGGCTGACTTACAACAACAAAATATCTGAAATTATCATTATTAACAGATTTATAGTAAATACTTTGATCTACTGGTATAAAAGCACATAATAGTCTTTCCAATATTATAGGTAGGAAAAATACAAGGGCTGTATTTTGAAAAACAAACAGCAAAAATAATTTATTCTATATATTTGCAAGATTTTATGAATGATTTCTTTCAATATCTGTAATTTATGTTCAATAAACTACAGAAGGGTGGCTGGTTTCCCTCCTGACATACATTAACTCTGCTTTCTTCTACTACTTGGTGACCTTAGCACTGGGGCTGCAACTAACCGTTATTATTATTTATGTGCAGATTAATTTATCAATCATTTTGTATATAATGTAATAATAAAAAGTTTTTTTTTTTATAGTTTCCCACAGTCCAAGGTCACATCTTTAAATGTCCTGTTTTGTCCAACAAAGACTCTACAATCATGTATAACAAAGAAAAGAACTTAATCTTCACAGCTAAGATGCCGATGTTGGACATGTTTGGAATTTTTGCTTAGAAATGACAAATGATTATTCAGTTGTCAAACTAGTTGGTGATTCACTGTCACTGGACTCACCGTTGCAGCTCTACTCAGCACTATGACCAGGAAGGTGTTCACCAACACGAGGGAGCGCTGGCGCCAACACAATGTCAACACTGCATTCGCAGAGCTCCGCAAGCTCATTCCCACCCATCCTCCGGAGAAGAAGCTGAGCAAGAACGAGATCTTGCGTCTGGCCATGCGCTACATCAACTTCCTGGTGCAGCTGCTGGAGAGCCAGAGCGGCCAGCCAGCCGGCCGCTCCCCCGCTGCTCTGCTCACCTTCCTCAGAGGAAACATGGAGCAGCTGCACTCCCCTCCACACCGCTGGGCCAGCGACACTGAAGCTCTATCACCTGGATCCAGCTGCGACAGCCCCGAGGCCTGGTAGAAACACAGCCATAAAATCATAACATTCAAAAAAAGCAACTCTGATCCTTGTCCTGGGTTTAAAAACCTATTTCTCAAGACTCCCTTTTTTACACCTGTGTGACTCATGTTTTAGTGGAGAGGATGCAGAACTGTGTGATGTCTGTCACATGTGGCTGCCTCCTCACTGATCAGAGTTGAAATATGATTTACAGGTGAAAATTCATTTGTGTTCTGCATGGATGTGTAAAATCTGTACAATACTCCCTTCATATCGCCACATTAATATTCCTTGTTGCTGACCCATCTGGAACTAATTTAGTTTTGCAGTGAGAGGGCGTGTTGCCAATGAGGAAAACTGCGGGGATTAAGAAACATCTCATTTCAAGCAACAGATTCAGGAAGGCTTTTGAATAGATAATGGAACAGCCAGTTCTCCAGAAAACAATTGTCTCAGACTACTACTACTTTTTTTAATGAACATGTAGTTTTACTTTTTTTTTTTATTGAGAGGACTAATTCCAACCTTTTTCTTCAATTATCAAGATTCAGGAGAATCACAGCGTCTCAGTCTTTTTTCATACAAGAATACGATTGATTTAGGATTGGGCTGAGGAATTTTGGCAAAACTGACAATCCTCAATTAATAATTATCCACTAGCTCGCACAAATATCTTGTCATGTCAGTTCATGTTTTTCTTTGAGTCTTTGTAAAATACACATGCCATAGAGCCAAAGATTTTAAATTGTCTACTGTGAAGAGTGTGCTAATCTTCTTATACCTCTTTTGTAAGTTATTTTGGTTTTCTTGTGAATATACAGTATGCTATTTATTTGAATTATTTATTTAATAAATGATTTGTTTATAAAACTCCTGCATCTTTTTAGTGTAAGGTCTAAGTAATTGTTATAGTAGTAACTGTAACTGAATTTCTGAGTAGGCGCCATACTGTTTACTAAATCTAAACACCTTTTGAATTGCAGTCAGTATGCACTTTAAAACAGCTGATTCTTGAGTGTGCTGTTGGTGGACATGATTGCCACATAGTGCGATGTACAAAGAAAATAGAGGAGGAGGTGCTCTGAAAAAATGAAAATAGATTCAAGAGCACAAAAATATAAAGTCTTGGCAAAACATTTAGACAGTTCTCAGTCGCAGGTTGGCTGATGTGCCTTCACCACACACACTTTATCTTAATATAAAACAGTTCAGTATGTTCTTCTTTGTATTCACAGCACAAAAGCAGCAACCTGAGACAATTAGCATATAGAATTATCTGTATAGAATCACTGTGAGGACAACTGATCTGAAGTTAAGAACCAAGCTGCTGCCTCGGTGCAGACATTCTGTGCTCAATGAGCCCAGACACATTTGTCCACAAGTCCTGTGATAACCACGTGGACACAAAGCTGACCTCTGCTCTTTGTCCACTGACCAGAGCCCAGAGAGAGTGGTGCTGAAAGTGACAGCTTAACTTGTGACCCCTGAGGTCAGAGGTCACTCTGGAGTCAAACGCTGACCAGTTGATCAACGTGCAGATGCAAAGAAAATGTCACGTTGTTGCTGCACACAGTATCACACAACCATAACTATTGCGGATAAAGGCAAAAATGACAGAGCCCAGCAATTCCTTCCTGTTGGCTTGTAACCATCTATGTAAATGGTCATATACTTTGTATAGCACTTTTCTATGCATTGCAGCACACTCAAGGCAGTTTCACAGCATTTGGCCATTCACCTATTCGCACTCCCAAGCACCGGTGTCATCACCGGGAGCAACTGTAAACACTATAATCCAACTTCTGTCCACAAAATGTTACTGTGCAATTAGATAAATTACATCTTATGAAAAACAGCATCAAACTATGGAAAAAAATTAAATATAGTCAAATTTGGGACTGCAACTACATTTTTTTTTTTCAATTAATTTTGAATGGCTTACAAAATGCATGCAAATAAAGAGAAGTGCCAGTTCTAATATCCCGGAGTGCAAAGTGATGTCATCAGTTTACTTGTTTTGCCCGAGCAACTAGTCTAAGACTCAACCATATTCAGTTTATAATAATATTAAAAAAAGAGCAAAGCAGGCTTTTCAATAAATGACTTAAGCGCTTAATCAATAATTAGAATAGCTGGTGATTCATTTTGTGCCAATTGACAAACCAATTAATGGACTATTTGTATCAGCTCTAGTTCCAATATCAGCAGCTTTGTTTGGACCTGTCTCCTTGTTTTGGCAGCCATTTAAACCCAGATGTTTATATGCCTAGTCGCCTGTTGTGAGAGTAGGAAATGTGGCCCAGCTGAGCTGAAGAGTAAACACCGAGTTGGTTTTGGGTGCTGTTAAACTCTGGCTAATGGTGTGTAAACAGAGCAGGGGGCAGCTGGACACACTGACTGGAGGCCGGTGGGAACTGACAGGTGACCCTTTGTAATCCTGCAGAAATACTAAATAAATCAGAATGTATAGGGTGAAGGGTAACTAGAGTACAGCAGCAGACTGTCAGTCCCATGTGTAATTCATGCCGAATTGAGCAATTTCATAGTGAACTGAAATAATACTTTACTAAAATTGTGGTTATTAATAGCCATTTTACTACAAATACTGTAAGATGCAATATTTAAAAAACAGTTTACTTCTTTGTATGCTGAATAATTTTGGTGTAATTCAGAATAATATTCAGTTATTCAATCATCATTTGAAACCAGATAGGCCGGCATGTGACAGCTGTCGGGCTGTGAAGCAAATTTTGCTGATACACCTTATTTACGCCCAATCACAGTATGAACATTACTCTGACCTCAACTTTCCAGCAGGATTATGAAACTCTGCATTGAAAATAATAACAAATCTGTATGCTTCTCATTCCCTCCACCAAGTATCTTTGCCTGATTGACTATTCTCTCCCAAGTATGTGGGTAATCGTCTATTGAGAGCACATTTCCTTATCAGCGTCTAGCATGCTGTCTGAATCCGTTATCACAATGGGCCAGATCAGTGCAGGCAGCCCCTCGCTCTCCCGGCTGAGGCACCCATAAAATAGAATTTCTGGAGTTGGGTGCCAGCGGATAGGCCCTGAGCTCTTTATCCCCTTAAAGCCAATTCACACTCTGCATGTTTAAATATCTCAGCTCAACCCCTGCCATCTCACTCCCGTCATGCACTTTCACCCCCTCCTCCATTTTCCTTTCGCCCTCACACTCTATGGCTGCAAGTCCAAGTGAGGACCGCTCCCTCGGCCGACCTGCAACACAGGGATGCAGGTGCAGGGCTGGTTGGAGGCTGAGAGAGGAGGGGAGTTGTCCATTGTTGGGCTGGACAGCACCCTCTCTCCTCTGGAGCACCCTCTGATGGGGGAGCCCACTGACAATCACACATCCTAATCTGATTATGCAAATATCTACTTCAAAAAGCAATACGCTGTAACCCTTAGCCTGTGGTGGAAGACAGGGCGAGGAAGAAGGAAGGAAGCAGAAGGAATGTAGAGAGGGATGGGAAAATAAATTCAAGGGCAAAATGCACAGTTGGATGTGATGAATCTGCATTTCTGTATGCAACACCCTGATATACTTATCATTAGTTTCTCTCCCACATCCTCTGTACGACCAGGGGAGGTCTGAGGACCAAACAGTTCACACTTACACACTGAATAGTCACTGATTCCCTCAATGGGGCATTGAATTCAATATTGAAATGCTTTTTGTTTTTCCAGAATGCAGCGTCAAAAAGAATTTACAATGTTAATGAGGGGGCCAGAGTTAAGATTTAGACAGCCAGATACTTGGCGGTGACATTTCCAAAAAACACCGTCTCAACGTCACCGATTTCTAAAGGCACAGTCATCAACCACCGCCTCCCAAATATTCAAGGTGATGCCTCTGGCCTCATTCGGTTTAATCAGTTGCTCCGTTCTGCTGGTAGATAGTCTACAGCAGGGGCGCCCACACTTTTTCATCTTGCAAGCTACTTTTCAAATGACCAAGTCAGAATGATCTACCTACAGTTAAAATACTAAACATATATTTATTTATATACGGAGTATACCTTATGTAAACACAATCACGATCGACGTATTGGGCAGCCCTGGTCTACAGCCATGTTAGCATCTCTGTGAGGCTGTACTTGGGTTATGCTTGACCAGAAGCACTGATAGTGCATCACCAGAAATCATTTATAGGTGTTCCAAATGGCCACACCGGAAGGTGAGGTGAAAAGCTGGCTGTCAGAGGGAGAGAGAGAAGACACACTGTTGTTTCAATACAGGGATAACGGCCCTTAATTTCAGTCTACCCTGAAACACATTAACAGTGCTAGACTCTTGTTCAGTGACAGAAAGAGCAAATTTAAAAATGGGAATAAATGTTTAACAAAAGGTTATGAGACAAGTTCAATCCCTGGTCACTCACTCCTGCACACTTTGCCGCACTGTGACATCAGATTGTGTTACAGGAAAGGCCGGACACAGCCTGTTTATAAAGGGTCACCCGAGGTTCACCTGGTTGTGCTTTATAAACCTCAGTCTCTGTGGAATTAGGCGCAATCTCTGACAGACCCCAGCTCTTCGTGGGCAGCCTTCTACCTTGACTGGTTGGGGTGAGTGGATAGAGGAGAGAGAAAAATGACATCAAAACAAAAGAAATCAAAGTCCTGAAAAACCGATTAGGCCAAAATAAATTCAATGTTTGAAAATGCAGTTTATGAATTTAAATATACAGTATGTAAACACACCTGTCCAGGGTGTACCCCGCCTTTCGCCCAATGCCAGCCTGGATTGGCTGCAGCCCCCCTGCAACCCTGTTCGGGACTAAGCGGTATTGAAAATGAGATGAGTATGTAAACAGGTAAAAATAATGCAAACTGTTCAAAACTGTCTTGTTTTTCATTGACATCTCATCATATAACAATCACCCAAAACATGTGTAAACATGGTCTGAAGTAGGCAAAAAAAAAAGTCATTGCAGTCCCAAAAATTCTTCCCACACATCATCTAGATGCGTACCAGTTACTGTGCGGAAAACTGCAAATGCATGGTTTTTGTGTGCTTCCATCATTTTTGTACAGGGCACCTAAAGTCTGTTTTTATGGATTTAAAGCACAGGTTAGAGGTCAACTTTGCAATCATTACCTTTTACCTACAACAACCTGCATGGGGTGCATCTCTTATCTCATGCGTCAGGATAAATCCAAGCCAGAGTTCAGATTTGTTTAGTTAATAATTATAGTACTATAACAGGCTTCACATCAGGCTACAGCGGTCATTCCACCTGAGCATGGAGTTGAGGCAGCATCTCTCCCTTTGTGTCCTGCTGGTTCTTTGTACGACATGGAGTACAAACATGGAGTGCAAACGGAGGGAACATTTTGGTGTGGTACACCGAAGGCAGCCACTGGATTAACATCAAGCCTGTGCTGGAAACCCTGATCAACAGGGGACACCAGGTCACGGTCCTAGTCCCCACCGTGTCTATGTTCATGAACACCAGTGAACCCTCACGCTTTCACTATGAACCCTTTAACGTCTCCTTCTCAATGGAGGACATAGAACTGATTTATGAAGACCTCCTTCACTTCTCCATGTATGAGATGGATCAAATGAGCTACTTGCAGATTTACATCAGATTCATGGATCTGATGAAGACCGACCTATATTATACTCTTAAGTATCTAGATGGTGTGCTGAAATCAGAGACCATGATGAAGAAGCTGAAGCAGGGAAACTACGACGTTCTCCTGGCTGACCCCATCTACCTGGGCAGTGACTTAACAGCAGAGATTTTGGGCATCCCTCTGGTCTTCACTCTGCGCTTTTTCTTAGCCCATAACTTTGAGAGACACTGTGCTCAGCTACCTGCTCCACCTTCTTTTGTCCCCGCTGCTATGAGCAAACTGACAGACAAGATGAACTTCTCAGAGAGACTGTGGAACTTTCTCTTCTACGCACTGAATGACATTGTACTAAATCACATTCTTTGGAAAGAAGCAGATAAATATTACTCTGAAATCAAAGGTGAGCAACTCAGGTATAAGAGCCACTGTGTAACTGCACTTTTCTAATGGGCCACACACTGTTCTGTGTTGGGTTAACGGCATCAGACTAATTCCAGTTATTTTACATCCAACCATGTCTGTCAACAATATTTTAAGTAAATCACATTTGAAAAGTAGCAAAAGTATCATCTGAAATATTGGTGATACTTTGCAATGGGCAGCTGACATCCATTACTTCTGAACTGTGACAGGAAAACCCACTAGTGCCTGTGAGGTGATGGGTAGAGCAGACATCTGGTTGATGCGAACCTACTGGGATTTTGACTTCCCTCGTCCTTTCCTTCCTAACTTCAAATTTGTTGGTGGGCTCCACTGCAGACCTGCTAAACCTTTACCAGAGGTAACAGTGTCCACTATCACAGCCCTAAACATCTTTCGTAACACTTCAACAGTACTCCTGACTTAAACAATGAAAAATAATAGGCTATTAAAACACAGAGGAATGGAAAGAAAATTCTGGTTGCTTTGTGTTGGGACAATATTGTAGTTCACTTCTTGCAGGACATGGAGGAGTTTGTGCAGAGTTCTGGAGAAGCTGGCATTGTGGTCTTCACTTTGGGATCTTTAGTCAAGAACATTACCACAGAGAAGGGAAACATTATCGCCTCGGCCCTGGCTCAGATCCCACAAAAGGTCAGAGTACGCTCCGTAGTTACTAAGTGAAAAACTGAATTTTCCATGAATGTAGTTTTAAACTCAAAACCTAAACTATTACAAAGGTCAAAGAAGATATTTATTAGCTGCAGATTGCTTGTACTGTAATGTAAATCATCTTAGAAATCATTCCATGAGATTTAAGGTTTTTATCTTCTGGGCAAACAAATCAAAAATCCTTGATAGTTAACTTTTAACTAGAAATGAGCAGATGTTAATGAATTAAAATTCACTGGTTAACATCATATTCGACTGCTATAGATGAAACTGACAAATGGATTTACTCTGGTAGGTGCTGTGGAGATATGCTGGAGAAAAACCAGATACTCTCGGTGCCAACACCAGGTAACGGACAAGTCCGCCCCCGAGCCCTCAGCCTCTGCCTCCTCATCGGAAGACATGACGCCGGGGTTGAGGAGATCCTCGAAGTGTTCTTTCCACCGTGGCAGCTGACATCCATTACTTCTGAACTGTGACAGGAAAACCCACTAGTGCCTGTGAGGTGATGGGTAGAGCAGACATCTGGTTGATGCGAACCTACTGGGATTTTGACTTCCCTCGTCCTTTCCTTCCTAACTCCCAATTTGTTGGTGGGCTCCACTGCAGACCTGCTAAACCTTTACCAGAGGTAACAGTGTCCACTATCACAGCCCTAAACATCTTTTGTAACACTTCAACAGTACTCCCGACTTAAAGGATGAAGAAAAATGGGCCATTAAAACACAGAGGAATGGAAAGAAAATGCTGGTTGGTTTGTGTTGAGACAATATTGTACTTCATTTCTTGCAGGACATGGAAGAATTTGTGCAGAGTTCTGGAGACGCTGGTATTGTGGTCTTCACTTTGGGATCTTTAGTCAAGAACATTACCACAGAGAAGGGAAACATTATCGCCTCGGCCCTGGCTCAGATCCCACAAAAGGTCAGAGTACGCTCCGTAGTTACTAAGTGAAAAACTGAATTTTCCATGAATGTAGTTTTAAACTCAAAACCTAAACTATTACAAAGGTCAAAGAAGATATTTATTAGCTGCAGATTGCTTGTACTGTAATGTAAATCATCTTAGAAATCATTCCATGAGATTTAAGGTTTTTATCTTCTGGGCAAACAAATCAAAAATCCTTGATAGTTAACTTTTAACTAGAAATGAGCAGATGTTAATGAATTAAAATTCACTGGTTAACATCATATTCGACTGCTATAGATGAAACTGACAAATGGATTTACTCTGGTAGGTGCTGTGGAGATATGCTGGAGAAAAACCAGATACTCTCGGTGCCAACACCAGAATATATAAATGGATCCCTCAGAATGACCTACTGGGTAAGTTAAACTTATATAAGATACTGAGCAGGCCTTAAACATCAATCTTGTATGACATTTTGTACATTAAAGTTTGATATGAAAAGTACTTGCATCTTTATAGGCTCTCAATTTTTCATTGAGGGGAAAAAAGTGAAAATGATTTGTTAATCAGGTAATTGCCCTTTTTGTTAAATGGGCCTGTTTCACCATGGTCCAAAATTCATTCTACATTTCTCAGGCTGTGGCCATTTCAATCATTTACTTTGAGCTTTGTAATTGCGAGACAATGCATCAACAGCACACTCAAAAATCAAGGGTTTGTTAGTAAAAATACTGATAGCTTTGAATATACTTTCAGCCACTTTTTCAGTGTGAATATCATACATGTATACAGCACTCAAAACTTGCACCTGGTTTGGACCAACTGCCTGTATTTTTTCTGTACCAACTAAATATTACACAAAAAAACCACAGGCAAGGTTGTATTATACCATCCTGAGAATTGTAAAGCTACACCCAGCAATTATTTTCATTTTCAATGGGTGTAACAATTTTTCTTAATGATTGATTGTTTAATGTATAATGTGTATAATTAATGTATAATTGCACAAACAATGACAACATGTCTGAAAGGCACATTAAAAGTGGCTAACCAATGTGCCACCCTAATTTGTTTATATAAAGTACATGTCTTGTGTTATGTTTAATAAAACTGCTTGCATTGTGTTGTGTCGAGTAACTAATACACAAAAAAATCTCAGGTAATTGTTTTGTCAGGTTTAACAATTTTTCTTAATGGTTGATTGTTTAATGTATAATGTGTCCAAACTAGTGGAAAAGCCCCATCGTTATTCCCTGAAGCCCAAATGAACATATTCTAATATCAGGTTTTGTCTCAGACACAATCAACAATCATCATAGGAAACAACAAAAACTAGTAAACATTCAGATTTCAACAGCTGATACCAGTGAATTCTTTGGCATTTTTGTTTAAAATGACTTAAATGATTAATCAACGATGAGGATGGCTAGTAATTATCTGCCAGTTTGACTCATCAATTAATTATTTTCTGCTGTAGAGAACTGAGTGTTTTCTAGGTGTCTGGGAAAATAATGAAATTGATGTACAGTGGGGGTCAGTAGGGGCCCAATAAAAATTCTTTACCCTAAAGCAATTTATGTTTTAGCATTTTTGGTACCATATCAGGTCACCCCAAGACCAGAGCTTTCATCACCCACGGCGGCACAAACGGGATTTACGAGGCCATCTACCACAGTGTTCCCATGGTGGGTATCCCCATGTTCGGTGACCAGCCAGAGAATATGATCCATATGGAAACGAAGGGAGCTGCAGTCATTGTGGACTTAAACTCCATGAAGACTGAGGACCTTAAAGATGCAATCAATGCTGTCATCAATGAGAAAACGTAAGTTGTCTTGTAACTATGCTAATTATTAACTCATTTAAGTTTATTTTAACTACTGTAGTTGGCAGCTGTAACAGTATCTGCTAGAGGTGCTGACTGAAACCACAAAAATGTGAACAACCTCCTGTAGCACAATCATTCCAGTCTACAGCAGCAATTATATCAATTAGTCAAGTTAAGACCACATCTGAGGAAGGAGAGGGTGTTAGTAAGTCATATCATTCACTAGAGGAGAACGTGAACTACAGTCAATCATCAGGAAACAGCAACAGTTTCATAAAAACCGATTCATCATTTTGTTGCCTTTTTCAAGCAAATATTGTAAAAAAATTCTACACATTGTAAGTCTTCAGCTTCATGAATGTGAGGATTTGCTGTGCTTTTGTTTTATATTGAAGCAAATTGAAGATCTCTGGATTTTAAGAAAATATCTGAAGATGTTACTTGGAGCATTGCACAGTGGTGACTGGCAATTTTTCACTGTTTTTTTACATTTCATAGACAAAAATAATTGATTAATCAAATAAATTGTTGTCAGATTAATCAAGGATTAAGTTGCAGTACTACAACAATTCAACTTTTAGTTTATAGATGCCTCCAGATAGACCAAAATTGAAATACATAAAAACAAACAAACAAAAAAAATCCTCCCTTCATTTCCTTTTTGTTCCCATTCTTGGTAAATAAAAGAAACAAGTGTTAAAAGTAACAAAAGTATGACGTAAATTTTCACCCTCTGTTGTATATTCACATTCAAAGGTACAAGGAAAATATCTTGCGGCTTTCCAGTATCTACCACGACAGACCCATGAGTCCTCTGGATGAGGCGGTGTTCTGGATCGAGTTCACCATGAGAAACAAAGGAGCCAAGCACCTGAGGGTCCAGGCCCATGAGCTCACCTGGTACCAGTATCACAGCCTGGATGTCCTGGCCTTCCTCCTTGCTGTTGTCCTCCTCCTCATACTCCTCTTTATCAAGACCTGCAGTTTCTGCTTCCAGAGGTGCTGTGGCAGAAAGGAAAAAACAAAGAGAAAGGCTGAGTAACGGGCTAAACTGAAGTTATGTTGGTAAAGAACTGGTGAATGAATAAAAAAACAGTTCACTGGTTGTCCTATTGGTCTTATGTAAAGAAGCCATTTGGAAAAAAAAATGACACCATTTCCAGAGAAGCCTTGCCTGCTGTTTACGATTCATTTTGTTGGAAAAATAGTTTAAAAAACTGAAACATGGCATTCAAATAATTGTGATGACATGAATTACGCAAGTAATTATGTAACATCAAAAGTACTGCTCTTAGGGGGGATATTTACTAAAAATGTGTGTGAAATTGTATGTGTTCAAATTGACTAAGGAGTCACAGTGCCAGAAAAACAGAAAAAAACAGCACTGCAGGAATTGGCGCATCTGGTCTCATGCAATATGTATTTTAAGGTGTTCCTATTCAGGGACACAAAAACCAGAGAGGAGAGAATAGAAATTTATATAAATACTCTCAGCACCTGATTTACCACCACTGCGGCAGAGAGAATTACAGCTGACATTTAACATCAGCAGAAAGCAGGTGTAAAATCTAAGGCACTGCTGTTAGCATGGCAGCTGTTATTCATTTGAGACCTCGTCAGAGTTAAGACCACATCTGAGGAAGGAGAGGGTGTTAGTAAGTCATATCATTCACTAGAGGAGAATGTGAGGTACATTTACATGCTTTCAGGTCAAACCATGCTTCACTAACTAGCCAGTAAACATACTTTCTTCTACTATCTCTCTTGGTCCACCTGTGCTCATTACAGGCACAATTTTCTGTGCCTGGTGGTAATTTGGGAGACGTTTAGTAAATATCCCCCTTAGTTGGGAAATGGGCCATCTTGAAATGTGACTCGTTTTTTATTACTAGTCTCTTATTTTATGCCCAAAATGCCCATATCCTGGTTTTGAAAAACCAGGACTTTAAAAATCATCTGCATGAGACTGTTGAGCCAGGAATGCAACAGATAAATGTCAGTGCTGATGAAGCCCAACAAGGTCTTTTGGACCTCTCTGAGGGAGGTGATGTTACACTCCACATCTTCCTCAATGATGCCTGAAAACAAAGGCAACTAAAGTGCCACACAGGCTATCCACAGAGCAGCTGGTTCATTAAAACCTTTAAAATCATTTCCTTTTATTAGCCTACATTAATGATCATGATTAGTCATTACATAGATTACTCAAGTGCTTTTCAGAGAGGAGCAAGACCCTTTGCTTGAACTGTGTATTCTTGTGCCTGTTCTTTCTAGGTTCTAGCCAGGTTTTCATATCAGTTTCAAGTTACTACCAGAAAGTGGACAGAGTTTAAGGAAGTAAACAAAGTGTGTTTCAGTTTTTAGAAAAATAGAGGAAGGGAAAGAAACAGCCAAGTATCTAATTACATTACCCGGTGTTACAATCAATGGCCCCATTTTCAGGTCTGACAAAGGTGTCGTAGACGACTTGCAGCCTGGAATTGACCAGTTGACCACCATCACTCTAGACACATCCAGACCATGACTGGTATACAACTATGAAGATAAACATCAACACCATATTGTTTCACTGCATATCCACATTTGAGTCAAAGCTACCTACAACCCTTCTGTTGTTATTCCAGTTTCTCTACTCTGTGTTGCCCAAGCACAGCCTCTAAATTAGCCCCACCTGCCACAAAGCAAAGGTTACAAGAAGCACATTTCAAACCATGAGTAGTCATTTCAAATACCCAGCCACAAAGGACCTCTTGGTAGCTAAAAGTCCAAAATCAGTGCCTACCAGAGTGAAGTAGCAACATTCTTGGGGATTTGTTGGGTTTTTCCTCTATAATATTAATGATAGTAATGTCTCGACTATACTTTGTGAAGTGTCCTGAGACGACTTTTGTTGTGATTTGGCGCTAATACAAATAAAACTGAACTGAATTAAATTCTTTTGCACAAGGAATGGGACAAAAAAAAGAGCAAAGAACAGGGTTTACATTGGTTTGGCTTTTTTAAGTTGAGGTGAGTTAAAAGCAGCCAAAGCACTCAAATTTGATCCAGATGTGGCGTTCATAAATCTCTACGAATTACTATCTATGGTAAAGCAATAACCAGAGCATTCTACTGGACTGCCAAATTTACTCGTTAGTCTCCTAACACTAGATTCGAAGGCTTCATTTTGTACAGTCTGTTGCAACCAGGCATCCATACAGTAGGAAGGAAACAGGATGCAACAGGAGGGGCTTAAGGTGTGACCCTCTAATGGCTGATAAGAAATTAGAGTAGCTTTAAGGACTCAGTCATTACAGCATGTACCACATTTATATCAATACATCCACTATTTATTAAGACATTTGACCAAAAATGTCAGCCTCTTGGTGACAGGTGGCTACTAAACTCAGCCAGCTTCATCGCCAGGAGACCCATGTAGGTTTGTACACAAGTTCATGGTGACTGTGGTTCAGTGGGTAGAGCAGTCGTATCCCAACCGGAGTGTTGGTGGTTTGAATCTTGGTGCCTGCAGTCCACATGTCAAAGTGTCCTTGGGCAAGACACTGAACCCCCAAGTTGCCCCCAATGGTTAGAGCCCTCGGTGTGAGTTGGCACCGCAGATGGCTGCCTCGGTTCTGTACCGGAAACAAATTCCTTATGTTTAACATACTTGGCCAAATACAGGTGCTTAATTCATCCAGTAGATGTTGGTACACTATTTTAGTTTGAATCTAGACTGAGTAACACTACCATTCCTTGAACCACAACACAAGTTTAAGGACAATATTACTTTTGAAATTTGCCTTTTAAACAACATCTGATTTCACTTTGATCCAAACAATCAATCTTAAAATGACAAACTTATGTTACTCTCACAAAAACCAATATGTGACCGTACTCCCCTACACTTCAAAGGTAAACAGAGAAATTCTTTCACAAGCACTGAGATTATGTTATTGTGTTCAAATCCTCTGAGCTGAACACAGCATCATTTTGTTTTATTTTGTTCAGTCTCTCCATAGCTAACACTTATAATTTAGGTTTCTGAAATCCGTTTTTATTTTATGAATTTAGAGTGCAGGTTAAGGGTGACTCCGGTTTTTCTTAATACTGAGGATCACTTTACACTCATTGTGTTTTACCTCTAACCACTTCCATTGCACTGTTTTCTCAAGTGTCAAGTTGCACAAAGAGAAAATACAAGCCAGAGTTCAGACTGGCTTACTTAATAATGCATCAGGCTACAGCGGTCATTCTACCTGAGCATGGAGTTGAGGCAGCATCTCTCTCTTTGTGTCCTGCTGGTTCTTTGTACGACATGGAGTGCAAACGGAGGGAACATTTTGGTGTGGTACACCGAAGGCAGCCACTGGATTAACATCAAGCCTGTGCTGGAAACCCTGATCAACAGGGGACACCAGGTCACGGTCCTAGTCCCCACCGTGTCTATGTTCATGAACACCAGTGAACCCTCACGCTTTCACTATGAACCCTTTAACGTCTCCTTCTCAATGGAGGACATGAAAAGGTTTCTTGAAGACTTCCTTCACTTCTCCATGTATGAGATGGATCAAATGAGCTACTTGCAGATTTACATCAGATTCATGAATCTGATGAAGAACAACCTATATTTTAATTTTAAGTATCTAGATGGTGTGCTGAAATCAGAGACCATGATGAAGAAGCTGAAGCAGGGAAACTACGACCTTCTCCTGGCTGACCCCATCTACCTGGGCAGTGACTTAACAGCAGAGATTTTGGGCATCCCTCTGGTATTCACTCTGCGCTTTACCTTAGCCCATAACTTTGAGAGACACTGTGCTCAACTACCTGCTCCACCTTCTTTTGTCCCCGCCGCTATGAGCAAACTGACAGACAAGATGAACTTCTCAGAGAGACTGTGGAACTTTCTCTTCTACGCACTGAATGACATTGTACTAAATCACATTCTTTGGAAAGAAGCAGATAAATATTACTCTGAAATCAAAGGTGAGCAACTCAGGTATAAGAGCCACTGTGTAACTGCACTTTTCTAATGGGCCACACACTGTTCTGTGTTGGGTTAACTGCATCAGACTAATTCCAGTTATTTTACATCCAACCATGTCTGTCAACAATATTTTAAGTAAATCACATTTGAAAAGTAGCAATATCATCTGAAATATTGGTGATACTTTGCAATGGGCAGCTGACATCCATTACTTCTGAACTGTGACAGGAAAACCCACTAGTGCCTGTGAGGTGATGGGTAGAGCAGACATCTGGTTGATGCGAACCTACTGGGATTTTGACTTCCCTCGTCCTTTCCTTCCTAACTCCCAATTTGTTGGTGGGCTCCACTGCAGACCTGCTAAACCTTTACCAGAGGTAACAGTGTCCACTATCACAGCCCTAAACATCTTTTGTAACACTTCAACAGTACTCCCGACTTAAAGGATGAAGAAAAATGGGCCATTAAAACACAGAGGAATGGAAAGAAAATGCTGGTTGGTTTGTGTTGAGACAATATTGTACTTCATTTCTTGCAGGACATGGAAGAATTTGTGCAGAGTTCTGGAGACGCTGGTATTGTGGTCTTCACTTTGGGATCTTTAGTCAAGAACATTACCACAGAGAAGGGAAACATTATCGCCTCGGCCCTGGCTCAGATCCCACAAAAGGTCAGAGTACGCTCCGTAGTTACTAAGTGAAAAACTGAATTTTCCATGAATGTAGTTTTAAACTCAAAACCTAAACTATTACAAAGGTCAAAGAAGATATTTATTAGCTGCAGATTGCTTGTACTGTAATGTAAATCATCTTAGAAATCATTCCATGAGATTTAAGGTTTTTATCTTCTGGGCAAACAAATCAAAAATCCTTGATAGTTAACTTTTAACTAGAAATGAGCAGATGTTAATGAATTAAAATTCACTGGTTAACATCATATTCGACTGCTATAGATGAAACTGACAAATGGATTTACTCTGGTAGGTGCTGTGGAGATATGCTGGAGAAAAACCAGATACTCTCGGTGCCAACACCAGAATATATAAATGGATCCCTCAGAATGACCTACTGGGTAAGTTAAACTTATATAAGATACTGAGCAGGCCTTAAACATCAATCTTGTATGACATTTTGTACATTAA